AGTAGGGAACAATGAGCACTTGATTCAGGAGCCCCTCCTGGAGGCCAGACGGGGTGGACACAGACCAGGGGTGCAGAAGCAGTGGCAGCTGGAGGTGGAGGCCAGGGGACCCAGCACGGGAGTGGCTGTCCGAGCCCCAGATGCCCTGCTGCTGACCGGCACTGGTGTGTCAGACTCCAGCACCGGGGGGCCCTGAGGGTCCCCAGCAGCACACCGGGCTCTAGGAAGACTGGGCAGGAGGAACGGAGAGGCCAGCCTTACCGAAGAAAGCCTCTTCCAGTTACGAACTCACATGGCAGAGGCCCTGGCTGCCGGTCGAAAACCTTGGCACAGGGCTTGCCCAGGCCCAGGCTGACGGCACCCTCAAGGGGACATCCATCAGGCTGAGCAGCAGCGAAGGAGCCCCAGTCTCCACTGTGTTTCTGGGTTTTAAAGGGGCGCTGCCATTCAGCCCCTCTCAACGATTTCCTCTTCGCACCAGCACCAGCACAGGCCCCCTTCTCAGCGGCTCTGGGCCCGGGGCTGCCCGCACCCTCACGCCTCCACTCTGTGTGCCTCCCCGTGGCTCTGGGCTCGCTTGCCCTGGGCGACCACCCAGTCGGGGGCCTAGGCTGCCAGCCCCCCACCCACTGTCCCGGCCACTCCAGGAGGGCTGCAGGACCCCACTTCTGCAGCCTCCCTTCTCCCTGCAGAGACACCCGGAGCCCAAGAAGTCTTTCACTCTGCCATCTTTTATTCTTTTGCAAAAGGTAAAAAATAATGAATCCACGGAGAACTTCTGGTGAATAAAATTATCCACCTCATTCCAAGTGAGTCTGTGAGTCCACTGCTGGCACCATGCCAGGACTGCTCCTCGCCCGTGGGACTCAGGGTGGCCGAGAATGTGCGCGCGGACCCCCAGGTTCAGGCACCCACGAGGCTCGCCTCCTCTGCGGGGCCCCCTCCCATGCAGAGTCCCCCGGGACTGCCCTCCTCAGGGACCCCTGGCCTCTGTGCACCGTCCTCCTCCATCTGGAATATTCCTGCCCTCTTGCTCACCTGAACAGCCCTTCTTCCTGTCTTCCATAAGCCTCTGGGGCACCTGGCCCTCAGCTCCAGCCAGAGGGCGCCGGTGATGGGGGTCCCACACTGGCGGCTTCTTTTCCCTCGTACAGACCAAGGTACCGGTCCCCGGGCACTCTCCAACGTAACTGATTCACATTTGTCTCTCATTTCTGAGGCCAGTGTGACCAGCGGAGCTCTGCACCCCCGATCTGCCACTAGGACCCCCACCCATGACAGACAACATACTCTGCTGATAACCCGCCTGTCAGGGTTGGAGCCACCTCCCTTCCCATTAAAGCCCTGGGTGGGTGTGCACCTCAGAGGCACCCACTGGTGACAGTTGTGCAAGAACACGTCACCCGCTGTCTTCAGGAAATCGAAGAGCCCTGGAAGCACAGCCTGAGGTCTAGGGGACACAGGCCAGGTCAGGACAGAGCCAGCCATGGGGCTCAGTGCCCTGGACAAGTCCTCTTCTGGCTGCTGTGGCATCTCAGCTGGGATCTGCTGAGAGCCTCTGCGATGCCATCTGTGAAGTGGGCTCACAGAGCAGATAGAACAGGACTGTGAACGTAACTCTCCTATCCGGCTTGCACACAGCGGGCGCTCACGAAGGCACAAGTGTCCTGCCGTGTCCTGCAGGCGGCGTTGTGCCCACTAGGTTGACAGGCACAGCTGCAGCTCACTGTGCCCTTGCAGGCCCTGGGGTTTGGAAACAGGCCCCCGCTTTCACCAGGGGCGGTTACAAGGAACAGTTTTATGAGACTTACCACAGCATTTGCTATCCAGATGCTATTCAATAAAAATGGGACATTATCCATTTTACATTTCAGGGCCACCTAGATGGAGCCTCATGGGAGAAGCACCTTTCAAAGCCAAGGCAGGAAAATTCTTTGCACTTTCCAGAGCACCGAATGACAGCCACTTCTGGTGGAGGCTTTTCTGAGTGCAGGTGCGCAGACACTGCTCTGTCCCGGCTTTGGGACAGTCATCTCCAGGCTGATGGGGGCCACCTTGTCCACCTTCCCCAGAGGTCTCACACCCTCCCTGTGTGACTTGGTGGGAAGGGTGCTGGGAAGTCCTATCCTGAGGGATAGTGAGGACAGTTGAATTGATCCTATTTCTCTCTTCACTTTGGCTGCCAGGAACTCTCTGAGGGAAACTGAAGGCTCCAATCAAAGCTGCTGGGCAGGCTCTCTCAGCTGCCCATTTTTGCTCCATTTTCTCCTTGGTGTTCAGTTCCTGTTATAGTTTATATGCGCTCTAGCTGGGGATCTTCGGGGTGTTTCCGTTTCCCTGCTTTGGCTGTGGGACTCCTTCACGAAGTAAGGTGGGCTTCGAGTAAATGCTCACATGCGTCTGGCATGAAACAGATGTGCCTGCCATGCCCACATGCCCGCCCCACCCTCCAGTCCTGGGCGGAGGCCCTACGCATCCCCCTCGCCTCCCCCCGAAGCTCACGCACATGTAGTGCTGGATGCTGTGTCTGGAAGCAGTGCCCTCCGAGGGTGGGCATACGGGCCCAGGCTCCAGAGGGACTGCTGACTCACGGCACTTCGAGTCCAGAGGGACGCCTGGCCCCGATCCTCCATTCTGGGTGACATGGAAGCCAAGAGAGGGTGGGTGGCAGGTCCTGGTCACACAGCAAGATGGCTCTCTTGGCTTCCGCCCACACAGGACGTGCACCAGCTCATCCCCCACCAGCTTGCAGCAGGATAATGGTCTCTTGGGTGAAGATTCCACATAAACATGACATTAATGTATTCGGACGACGGAGGACCAGCTGCCTTGGCCCTGAGGTTTGGGGCCAGGATGAGACACAGACAACTGGTGCTTCTGCCCACTGAGTCAGCAATGTGGGGAACACCACCCCGAAACCAGCCTCCAGGCCCTGCCACGGGCTGGTAAACATCACCTCCAGGGCCACCAGGGCGCAGAAATGGCCAAGCCACAGAGAATCACAGCACGGTGTGGAAGGAAAAGAAAAGACACTTTCAAAACAATGCTTGTTGGAGGCCACCAGTGGAAGAGCTTTGTGACATGCCACCAGTGTGGGAGCTCTGTGCATGCATACGTGCATGCTCACGTATACCTGCACGCTCACACACGCATATGCAGCAATACACTCAGGCATGCCCACACATGTGTGCACATGTTCACACAGAGCACATTCATACAAAGGCATGAGCACACTCACATGGCCACGTGCTCACGTGCACAGGTGCTCTCATGCACTGTCACCTTCACATGTGCACACCCTCACACTCACATGTGCACGCACACACTCTTACATGCACACACAAAGCACACACGCACATGCATGAGTACACACACATGTGCATATGCTTATGCGTGCACATACAACCACATGCTCACAAATGCACACACACACACACAGAGCACAAGCGCACGGCCTAAGTGTACCTCTGTCCCTCCTGAGTTGTCACCCGTGATTAATGTGGGTGCTTTAACAGACTTGAGCTCTGGCTCTGGGGGCTGTGCTAAGCTTGGCCAAGCTGCGTTCTTAGCCCCAGTAGCTGGAATCTGGTAGATTCTGGGCCTCATTGTCAAAAAATACTTGCAGCTGGAGAGCAGAGCTTGTAAAGCCCCAGAGAACTACCACACTTTTCCAAGCTGCGCAAAACGAGAGCTGCAGTGCACCCCATTCTCAAGGCCTTCCTGTAAACCTGCCATCCCAAGGGGCTCCTAGGACCCCAGAGCCCATCCGGAACTCCTCCCCACCCCCCACTCTGCTCCTTCCAGCACCTCCTGGCTGCTGCTCCCCAGGGGCTGCTGGTAAAAGGTAACGGGTGGGCGTATCCTGGGGAAGGCCTCTGGCCCTTTGCGTGTCCCACTTCTGTCCCCCCCCATGTGCCAAGCCACATACACATACATGCTTCACCCCTCCTCTCTGAGCCCACCAGAACTTAGACTGAGTCTTGTGAAAAAGTTTGATGGCCAAGAATCAGAGTCCTGGGGAACCTCCTGGCAGGCGGAGGCCTGGGGAAAGCAGACACATCTCATCAGCTGTGCCTTGGGGTGGAGTTGCTCTAAGGGGCGTCGTGAAAGGAAGCATCCGTCTGGCGTACTGCATTAATAACTCAGGGCCTGTGGACCGGCAGAGAGAGGGAGACCAGGACCCCGATGGCTGTAGGGGTCCCCTGGGACCTTGGCTTCCCCCTCCCTGGGGTTCACTATGAAAAGAGGCTACCAGATCTGAATGCCAACCCTACGCTAGCAGCCCTGAGAGGCAGGTGACATGTCCCCACACAGAGGGTCGAGGGGACACCCCTTTGGGGGGGGTGCGGAGTCCCCAGAGCCTCACCACTCAGGCGGGACAGAGCAAGGACTTGGCACTGAGTTTGAGGAAATGCAGATTTGAAGAGAGGAAGATGGTGGCACTGGGGGTGCTCGGTTTATTTTCAATATTTACAGCACCAGATGAAAATGAGGGGTCTAGAGTCTGGAAGGGAAGGACGTCAGGGGATCTGTTCCCATCCCCATCCACAGGAGTGGGCTTTCCAAGGTCCCCAGGAAGGGAACAGCCACCCACCCCCATCTGTGTTCTGACAGACATGAAAGGACCACACCAACTGACTTGCTGTGTGACCCTGAGCGAGTGACTGCCCCTCTCTGGGACTTAGTTGTGCCATTTCTAAAGCAAGGAGGCAGGGAGGACAGCCAGGGTAGGGAGGGGTGGGAAGGGTGGGCGGGCGACCTCTGCCCATATCCCACCAGTGCCGGAGTCCCAGATCCCTGTCCAGTAGGGGAACCGGCATGCAGTCCCTGCTGGGACAAAGGGCCACAGATGGGCAGTGGCGCCTGCGGAGAGCAGAATTCCCCGAGGATGGGCTGAGAGGGAGGGCGGGGAAACAACCAAAAAAAGGAAAAAAAAGAAAGAAAAAGGACCAAAAGGGAAAGGAAACCAAGGGACCAAAAGAAAAAGGAAAAAAAAAAAAGGGGGGCCTGAGGAAAGGCCGACGCAAGCGGGTGGCCCCTCAAGCAGTAGGGCCTGCGCGGGACCCCAGCGGGGCTGCCTGCAGGGGGAGACGGAGAAGGAAAAGCCAGTCCCTGCATTCCCAAGAAGGTCTTTGGTGCCTCTGCAGCCCACCTCAGCTGCGTGTGTGCAAAGCGCGTGTGGCCGTGTGTGTGTGCCTCTATGAGGAGGGCCTATGGTCATAACAGTAGGAAAATCCCCAGCACCCGTGCGGGGCCCTGGCTCCAAAGCCCACTGGGGCAGGGCAGCCAGGGACCTGGCTGCAGAGCTGACCACGGCAGGGCCCCTCACTGGCTTAGGCTGCTTCCCTCCTGGGCAGAGCTGGCTGGGCCGGGCCTCTGGGTGGATCCCTGCCAGGTGTGCTGGCTCGCACTGCCCCCCAGTGGCCATCCTGGGTGCCCAAGGGCCTGGGGCTGGAGAGGACAGAGCTGGCAGACAAGGCCCCAGAGTAGCCAAGGCCATAGCCCCCCTCTGGGCAGGGGCCCCATGCCCTACGGCTCCTCCAGGAAAATGGCAGATATTTTGGTCTGAGACCTCCAGACCCACCAAGACGGTGTCCATCGCCTCCCACCAGCCTCCTGGAGGGAGGTACCAGCCCCTTCAGCGGCTACCTCTGCTGTCAGGGGATGGACCAGCCCCTCAACATACCCACCCAGAGATGTCCCATGTCTACAGCAGCTCCGGTGGTCCCTGCCGGCTCACACACCCACCCCAGACCTCAGCTGCCACATGGGCTGAGCAAAGGTTGGGAGTCCTTGCAACTTGGACATCTTGTGAGTTTGGGACGTCAATGTCCGATCACAAGGGTCTGAGGCCACCAGGGGTGTAGCCCCCTGGGATCCCCCGCAGAGAGGCCCCTTGAAGTCCTGCGAGGGCCAGACTGCCAGCCTGCCCCTACAGCAGGGGGCCAGCCTACTCCAGCCTTTCACTGGGAGGGAGTGGGAACTGTGCTGGGCCGATGGGACTCAGGCCCCGGCGGGACCCCAGCGCTGGGCCAGGCCTCCAGGCAGGGCGTTGTCAAGAGTTGCTATTTCAGGAAAGAGAGTGCTGATGAGAGACAGTGGTGTGAATGACAGGCTGGAGGTGCCCGCATGGCCCAGGCGATGGGGAGGGGTGGTCAGCAGGTGGGGGGTCCCCCAGATGATGCCTCGATGTCATGGTGGGACAGCCTTTCCTGCAGGGTTGCCATAAAATACAAGTCACCAGTTACATTTCGGTTTCTGATAAGCGTACAACGCTTGGGACATCCTTATGCTACAATACTCCTTGTTGCTCATCGGAAATTCAAAGGTAACTGGGCATCCTGCATTGTTACTTGACAAGTTGGTAATGACAGCACATTCTGGCCTCTGGCTCTGGGGGACCTTCTTTCTTCCTGGTAGGAAGGCGGCCATCCCGGGCGAAGGGTCTGTCCAGCCCGGCCGCATCCCCCATCTCAGGCTGACAGAGCGATGGGCAGGCAGGCCCACCCCCCGGGGTCCTGTGCTGACAACACCCAGAGTCACTAGCACAAAACAACGTGTTTAAACGCTCCCGCCCCTCAGGCTCTGTATTGATGAGATTGATCTCTAGGTGGTTCAGCAGGGATTCCGGCATGAACACTCGCTAAGGAGCCGGTGAGGACTGGTAACCACATGGCAGAGGGAAATCTGTAGAGTGTTCTAGGCCCCCTCCCGCCTGCTCCACAGCCAGTCTTGGGCCTGATCTTCCACGCTTTGTCCCCAAGGCCCCCAGGGCCGGTCACACAGGTGCTGGGCTGAGTCCAGGCCAGTGAGGTGCAGATAGGAGTCCGCTGGGGAGGGGCTGTTTGGAACAGGGTCCCTAGAAAGGGTCCGAGTCCCTCTGGGCAGAAAGAGCCCATGTTGCCTGGTGTCTGGGTTAGACCGGGGTCTCCACTGCAGAGCAGGCTGGCTGGGCACAGCCTCTGACTCACCTCTCTCTCTCTCCACCCACCCCTGCCAACTGATCCCTCCCAGGACCAGGAGGCTCAGCAACAGCTCCCAATGCCCCTTCCACCTGCCAGCCCAGCCATGTCACCAGCACCAAGCGCCCATACCATCCAGGTCACCTCCCTGCATCCTGGCTCGGAACACCAGGCCCTTGGAAGGTCTCCAGGCCTCCTCCCTCCGCACTGTCAGCACCGGAGCCAGGGCTGCCTGCCTTGTTCTCTACACAACTCCAGAGCTCAGCCCAAGGCCTGGCACTGAGGAGGCTCTCAGCAGACACCAGTCAGCCCGCTTGCGGTCCCTCTGCCTGGGGAGCCTCCATCCTTGACAGCCCCTGCCTCCACCACACAACTATACACTGTGAGACCTAGCTCAGCTATCACCTCCTCTGGGAAGCCTTCCCTGATTGCCGAGGACAGGGCCATCTTTTGCTCCTCTGGGTGTCGGCCGTGCACAAACCCCTCCTGTGGCAGCCCTTGGGAAGATAAATAAACAGATTTCTGTGTTTTCATATAAAACATCTGATTATATTTTTATAGTATGTATTTGTGTATTTTGATTAACAATATATTTTATATAATATGTATGATGTCCTATATTTTACACTTAAATTGTAATTTAACTAATAGTATAGTATAGTTTAATATATTATAAAATATATACCATGTAATAATATGTAATATAAATATATTTATTGATGAAAAGTATATATGGATAAAAATAAAAGATAATTTGGGGAGAGTGGGTAAATTTGAATACGGACTATACAGTGATTAAAATTATTCTATAAAAGTTGGATAATAGACTTGATATTTTGTGGGATGCCCTCAGTGAAGGAGACACATGGTCTCCTTTGTTGTCTTTGCCCCTCCCAAGGGAGCAGTGAAGACCCTCGGGAAGACCTGGGTTTGCGCCGTGAGTCCCCAGCCCCAGGTGCCCCAGACATTGCCCCACTCACCGCCCCTTTGCACAGGATGGCACAGACCGCAGCTGCCAGGTCCAGCTGCCAGTCGTCTTCACAGGGAAATAGGTAAGAGGCTCGTTTCTCGAAATGAGTGGGTGTCATCTGGCCTCGGACCGAAGTAGGAAGTGGGTCCCTGAGGCAAAGGAGGCAGAGACCCTGCCAAGCAAGGGGGGGGGGGGTTGCATCAGGAGGCAGGGAGTCATGGCCGCAGCGGACCGGGGGGCTGGCAGGCAGCAAGGAGCTCAGGAGGGAGGCCGGCTGGCGGGGTGCCCTTCTGAGGGGGGCCCCCAAGCCTGGATCCCGCGGGACTCCCGCTCTTCGGCAAAAGGGGTAGGAAGGTCAACGCCACATGCAGTGTGGGCTGACAAGCTTAGGTCTGCACATTGGGGTCCCCAGTGCCTTGGAAGCCCTGTCCCTGGTGGGGAAGGGGGCACAGTGGGTGCATAGTAACTGAAACCACTCTGGCTTTGGAAGGAGCCATGTGCCCCAGGCCCCAGGCCCCAGGCCCCAGACAGGCCAGAGAGTCTACATGCGTGCAGAGGAGCAGGGCACCTCTTACCCAGAGAATGTGGTGAAAAGAAACCAACAGAAATGGAAGCGAGGGCCACCAGGCCTATTCCAAGTCCCCCAAGACTGACAGGGCCCTGGCTGGGTGCCCCTGGTGTTAGTGTCCTGGGCTGCCATAGCAATGGACCCCAGACTGGGTAGCTTAAAGCAACCAAATGTGTCGTCTCATAGAGCTGGAGGACAGATGTCTGAGATCAAGGTGTCGGTAGGGCCATGCTCTCTCTGGAACCTGTAGGCAAGGACTTTAGCTTGCCTCCGGGGCTCCTGGTGGCAGCAGACAGTCCTCAGCCAATGCCACTCTTAGGCTCCGTGTCCCCTCAGTCCCTGCCTCTGCCTCGCGCAGCATTCTCTCCCCAGGTGTCTGCACTCCCACGGCACCCTCTGCATCTGTGCATTTTCTTTTCTTAGAGGGACACCAGTATATTAGATACATTGGATTAGGGGTCCACCTAACCACAGTATGACTTCCTCTTAATTAAACTAATTACTTCTGCAATGACTGCTTCTCATTAAGGTGACATTCTAAAGTCCTGGGAGTTATCACTTTAAGATATCTTTTCTGGGGGAACACAATTCAACCCATAACACCCTCATTATCCACCCCCCTGTGCCTCCACATCTTTTGAACCAAGGAAGTCTGTTTTAGAAACCTTAAATGAACAAACAAATTAATTGCATGTTCCAGCTGCCGAAAAGGAGCGAGTTTCCAAACGGAGAAGGTGGTGTCTTTGCAGTGAGAGCCAGACCCGAGGAGAAGGGGCTCCGGAGTGAACGTACCGATTCTGGTCAAAGAGAAACTGGCTGGTTTCCTCTTGGCCCCTTGGGCTGTGCTGCTCCACAGAAGCAGGTCTGCAAGAATGCCACGTCCGAACTGGGCCCACTGCTGCAAAATGCAGCCTTTCCCAGGTCTATGCAGCCCTGCAAGGTAGTGGGACAATGGGGACCACCAGGAGTCACTCAGTTATCAATCAGACGGCATGCCTCAAAAAGCAGAGAACCCAAGTTGAGCCAAGAGCACCTGGCAGAACGGAGTATGCCCCGTGGGTGATGGGGGGACTGGGTGATGGCACTATCGTCCCAGGCTGGGGTCTTGCTGCTCCCCAGCACATCTGAGTTTTCAAAAGTTGGGGCTATGTCCCCCTCTTGCCCATGTCCCATGGGGAGGCCCAGCTTCTGGAACTCAGTGGGCACATAATGAATGGTCAGTGAATTCAGGGATAAACAAAGAGCACCTCCATTTGCAGGATCTCAGATGTAGTTATTAAATCTAGAGTTTTGAAAAATCTATTCAGGCCAAAGTGGATGTAGTGTCTTTTCTCAACAATGATTCTCAAGGAACCATTTTCATAATTATTCAAAAAGTTCATGTCTGCTAACCACTCAACAAGGGATGTTTGACATTTTCACCGACATTTTCACTGCTCCACGTGGACTCCTTGCTGGCGAGCACCCCCAGTTCTTGGCACACAAGCAGCTTGCGAGACGCACTTGGTGCACGACTACAACAATCAAGGTTGCTCATCACAGGCTGTGGTGGCGAGCCCGCCTGCCGGTGTGTCTCGTTGCCCTGACAGTGAGCTCCTGGGGGGCAAGGAACACTTCGGATTCCTCCTTTATCAGCCTGGAGCTCCCAGGATGTTCACTGCATATTTCTTGAATGAAGACCTGTAGAAATAGGTGCATTGCAAACCCATTCCACAGACCAGACCATCAAGAACCTAAGTGACACAGAAGGAATCCCCAACAACGGGGCCCGTAAGGACAGCTCCCCTCTGGAACCATGCCAGGAAGCCGTGCTCAGCGCCAGCGGGTCTGTCTGCAGACCTGTGGCTCTCCGGGGCTTAGCAGGACAGTACTGCCTGTGACCCTGGCCACCCACAGTTGTACGTCCACAGTTCTGCCTTGGGCTCAGAGAGCTCTGTCCCTGGAAACACACCTCTTGGAACTATGAAAGGGCAGTATGCAAGCAAAAGGGAATTTTTGTTCTCTCCATTCTCCCCTCCCTGTGCCTTCAGTCTCCTGATCTGTGACACTCACAGAGGAATGCCAGGTAGAGGGAAGGACTCAGTTAAATGAAAAGCTTCCTGTTGCTGGGGGCTTGTTGATCTCCCCAGGGGGACATGTCAGCCCCAGCTGGTAACTGTGAAATAGCACATACAAGCATATTGTCTCAGCCACGAGCAGGACCTGCATGTGCCAGCTTCAGAAGGAGAGGGCACGGCTGTGGGTGGCAGACACAGATATGGCTGTTTAGCCTCTAGATACTCCAGATGTTGCACATTGTTCTGTAGTTTCTCTTTCTGCAGCTCCCTCCTTCCAAAAAAGGACTTTACAGAGCAAGTAGCTGAACCATTTAAAAACACATCAACAGATCCTCCCCAACACACACTCCACTTTTTTTTCCTTAACAGAGAAAGTCCACTTCAAAAATTTTTAAATGAATGAACTTGGGAATCGTCTGTGTCTTCTCAATGGGGAAACTGAGTCTCAGATAAGCCAAAGGGCTTCTGGAGGCAGTAGAATAATGCCCCCAAAGATGTCTGTGTCCTAATCCCAGGAATCTGCAAATATGTTACCTTATGTGAAAAGAGACCATGCAGAGGTGATGGCGTTAAGGATCTTGATAAGGGACAGTGCCCCAGGTTAGCTGGATGGCCTCTGATCACATGAGCCCTGAAGGGGGATAAACTTTCTTGCCTGTGCTCAGAATGAGACATGATGGAAGGGAAAAGTCAGGGAGATGCTGCCTTACTGCTCTGCAGGTGAGGAAGGGGCCGCGAGCCACAGAAAGCGAGCAGCCTCTAGAAGCTGGAAGAGCCAAGGACAGAGATCCTCCCCCAGAGCCAGAGTTTCCAAACGGAGAAGGTGGTGTCTTTGCAGTGAGAGCCAGACCCGAGGAGAAGGGGCTCCGGAGTGAACGTACCGATTCTGGTCAAAGAGAAACTGGCTGATTTCCTCTTGGCCCCTTGGGCTGTGCTGCTCCACAGAAGCAGGTCTGCAAGAATGCCACGTCCGAACTGGGCCCACTGCTGCAAAATGCAGCCTTTCCCAGGTCTATGCAGCCCTGCAAGGTAGTGGGACAATGGGGACCACCAGGAGTCACTCAGTTATCAAGCAGACAGCATGCCTCAAAAAGCAGAGAACCCAAGTTGAGCCAAGAGCACCTGGCAGAACGGAGTACGCCCCGTGGGTGATGGGGGGACTGGGTGATGGCACTATCGTCCCAGGCTGGGGTCTTGCTGCTCCCCAGCACATCTGAGTTTTCAAAAGTTGGGGCTATGTCCCCCTCTTGCCCATGTCCCATGGGGAGGCCCAGCTTCTGGAACTCAGTGGGCACATAATGAATGGTCAGTGAATTCAGGGATAAACAAAGAGCACCTCCATTTGCAGGATCTCAGATGTAGTTATTAAATCTAGAGTTTTGAAAAATCTATTCAGGCCAAAGTGGATGTAGTGTCTTTTCTCAACAATGATTCTCAAGGAACCATTTTCATAATTATTCAAAAAGTTCATGTCTGCTAACCACTCAACAAGGGATGTTTGACATTTTCACCGACATTTTCACTGCTCCATGTGGACTCCTTGCTGGCGAGCACCCCCAGTTCTTGGCACACAAGCAGCTTGCGAGACGCACTTGGTGCACGACTACAACAATCAAGGTTGTTCATCACAGGCTGTGGTGGCGAGCCCGCCTGCCGGTGTGTCTCGTTGCCCTGACAGTGAGCTCCTGGGGGGCAAGGAACACTTCGGATTCCTCCTTTATCAGCCTGGAGCTCCCAGGATGTTCACTGCATATTTCTTGAATGAAGACCTGTAGAAATAGGTGCATCGCAAACCCATTCCACAGACCAGACCATCAAGAACCTAAGTGACACAGAAGGAATCCCCAACAACGGGGCCCGTAAGGACAGCTCCCCTCTGGAACCATGCCAGGAAGCCATGCTCAGCGCCAGCGGGTCTGTCTGCAGACCTGTGGCTCTCCGGGGCTTAGCAGGACAGTACTGCCTGTGACCCTGGCCACCCACAGTTGTACGTCCACAGTTCTGCCTTGGGCTCAGAGAGCTCTGTCCCTGGAAACACACCTCTTGGAACTATGAAAGGGCAGTATGCAAGCAAAAGGGAATTTTTGTTCTCTCCATTCTCCCCTCCCTGTGCCTTCAGTCTCCTGATCTGTGACACTCACAGAGGAATGCCAGGTAGAGGGAAGGACTCAGTTAAATGAAAAGCTTCCTGTTGCTGGGGGCTTGTTGATCTCCCCAGGGGGACATGTCAGCCCCAGCTGGTAACTGTGAAATAGCACATACAAGCATATTGTCTCAGCCACGAGCAGGACCTGCATGTGCCAGCTTCAGAAGGAGAGGGCACGGCTGTGGGTGGCAGACACAGATATGGCTGTTTAGCCTCTAGATACTCCAGATGTTGCACATTGTTCTGTAGTTTCTCTTTCTGCAGCTCCCTCCTTCCAAAAAAGGACTTTACAGAGCAAGTAGCTGAACCATTTAAAAACACATCAACAGATCCTCCCCAACACACACTCCACTTTTTTTTCCTTAACAGAGAAAGTCCACTTCAAAAACTTTTAAATGAATGAACTTGGGAATCGTCTGTGTCTTCTCAATGGGGAAACTGAGTCTCAGATAAGCCAAAGGGCTTCTGGAGGCAGTAGAATAATGCCCCCAAAGATGTCTGTGTCCTAATCCCAGGAATCTGCAAATATGTTACCTTATGTGAAAAGAGACCATGCAGAGGTGATGGCGTTAAGGATCTTGATAAGGGACAGTGCCCCAGGTTAGCTGGATGGCCTCTGATCACATGAGCCCTGAAGGGGGATAAACTTTCTTGCCTGTGCTCAGAATGAGACATGATGGAAGGGAAAAGTCAGGGAGATGCTGCCTTACTGCTCTGCAGGTGAGGAAGGGGCCGCGAGCCACAGAAAGCGAGCAGCCTCTAGAAGCTGGAAGAGCCAAGGACAGAGATCCTCCCCCAGAGCCGCCCGAAGGAGCACAGCCCGCTGACATCCTGACTTCAGCCCGTGAGACCCGTGTCAGGCCCCGACCCCCAGGGCAGGAAGGTCACGAACATGTGCTGTGTCAAGTGTGGGCATGGTCACTTGCCACAGCAGCGACAGGACATGAGTTCTGCTTTCTGAGTCAGTGCTGAAGTCCATGTGTGGTGCTGGGGATGCCGCCGGTGAGGTCACACAAAGCCTGCCCCTGCCCTGCAGCTCCCACTCACAAAGCCCTCCGAGGATGCAGCCAAGCCCTGGAGTCACCCTGCTCCAGGTAGCCTCGAAGGATGAACAGATGAATAAAATGTGGGCTCTCCACACAATGGAATAGTACGCAGCAGTAAAAAAGGAACGAGATGCTGACACAGGCTTCCATGTGGATGAACTCCGACAATGAGATGCTAAGTGAAAGAAGCTGGACACTGAAGGCCACATGCAGCATGATTCCATTTGCATGAAATGTCCAGGACAGGCAAATGCGTAGAGACAAGGGGGGCTGGGAGGAGGCAGAGGAAGGAGTGAGCGCTTGACAGGTATGGGGCCGCACTAGTCAGGGAGCTCGACAGTACGTGACCGTAGTAGGACACGGACACAGATACCTCGAGGGAGACCAATGACACGGGTTGGCTGACAGGGTGATGGGGGCTGTGAACGCTCATGGTCGGCTGCCTGCAGCCTGGGGGCCCAGGGAACCTGGCGGTGCTGCCCCATGGGAAGGTCTGAAACCAGGAACCTCTGCATCTGCGGCAGGGGAAGAGGAGGGTCTCCTTCCTTCCTCTGCCTTTTGCTCTGTTCAGACCCTCGGTGGACTGGGTGGTACCCACCCACATTGTGGGGATGATGACCTGCTTTACTCAGTCCACCGATTCAAACACTAATCTCCTCCAGAGACACCCTCACGGACACACCCAGAATTCACATTTCGCCAGCAATCTGGGCATCCTGTGGCCCAGGCCATGAGATGAGCTGCCCAGGGGTTTTCTTCTGTGGAGATGAAAAAGCTTTGGAAGCAGATGGTGGTGATGCTTGTACAACAACGTGAGTGTGTTTAATGCCACTAACTTTAAAATGGCTAAAATGGTGAGTTCTGCCGGGTGTAGTTACCATAATAAAAGAAAAAGTCAGTGGAGCAGCACGTACCCATTGGTCGAGGCACGGGGTCAGTCCTACCAGGACCACAAGCGGCCGGAGAGTGTGTGGGGCTCAGTGCAGCCCTGCGTGCAAATGGGCCCTCCCGTCTCATCTGGAAAGTGGACAGGGGCACCCTTATCTCAGAGGACTCTGAGAGCCAGCCCCCACCACATCTTTCAAGAGCATTTTCTCAAGGCCCCTGCTGACATCCCATTTCCACATCGTTTGAGTGTCCCTTGCATTTACCTTCCTAATTCAGCGTATGTGGAATGCTCTGCCAGCACATCCTGACTTCTGTGGGAGAGCTAGAAGGGAGTTGAAAATACATAATGGCCCTGGAGGAGACAAATTCCGAGACAGAGAGAGGGAGATGGAGGGAGAGGCGTGAGCATCTGTGCACATGTGTGGCTGCCCAGCCATGGGGGAGCCCAGGAAGATGAACAGGAGAAAGATCTTGAAAACCGAGGACTCGGGCAGCTCTGTTGTCCTTGAGGCTCACATACCAGAG